CCTCCTGCTTACTCATATAGTTTGGACATAAAATGCTTTAGGCAAGAGTTATAGAAGCGAAAATATTGCGCAAATGAACTGTGAGAGAATCAAGAGTAATTTTTTGAACCGACGATAACAGGTAAAGCAGGAAATTATCAAAATTAAGTTTGTAGAAACGAATTTGATCTATACGAGGACAAGCAGGATTTTCAGGTATTTCCAATTATCGCACACATTTATCGCAAATTCTGCTATAAATTCTGAATGCGTTGCTAAATTAAATTGAGAAGGAGATTCATTTTTAAGAAGAAAAATTCACAAAATTGGAGGGAGATGATAGGAAGCAAAAGTTCTTTCTATTATTGATCGTTAATTGTCAAAATACGTACTTTTTGACATTACATCTACATAACTTGATTCCACTTAGATTTTCAATAGATATACCTCACATAAAGATCTTACATGGCTCAATCCAGTAAGAGTTTCGTTCCCCGATCATATGGGGGGCGATATTATTCCCGTTCGCAAATTTCGCTTCTATCTTCGCTACTGAGCGCCTGCTAGTAATTCTCCGACTTCGGTAAATATTTGCCGAACATTGGTGACATCATGGCGAGACGTTTCTAACAGTTGCTAGATAGCCTCCCCAAAGTTGAGAAGTATAACGGATACGTAAGAGATCGTGATTTGGGCAGAGCAAATGCCACTGATGTAATTATTTTTGTACACAAATGCGCTGTGACATGTACATTTTGATCTGTCGCCCTCCCAGATTCTTAGTTTTTTGGTTCACATGTCCGTTCAGATAGTCATCAATCTTGATTGCATTTAATGGCTCGAAGTTCGTTTTCCTGAACTTTCCTCAGCACTGCTAACATTTTCAAGTACAACATCAATGTTGCTAGTCAGGGAAAGAATTATTGATTTATTGATTGATGCAGGTCCTCTTCCCCTACCCCAACCAAGCTCATCCATTAGGTTCCCCGCATCAAAAAGCACCGGTCCCGTAGACAAACGGTGCCAGGAATCGGCTGACGGCAAACAGTACCCGGGGAGCGGCAGCTCTTCAAAAACGCCACCAGTTATTGGCTGCACATATTGCTCCCTACTAATCAACTAACATCAATGTAACTGACTACGTTACGGAACAAGACTATCTATAGAGCTGCTGAAACCGAAATTTTATGGTAATTGCTATTCGCGATTAAAAATTCAAGCTAACCCATGCAGCATAACGCTCGGTACACGCTGTGCAAAACGCTTCCGGTCGATTCACAATAGCCTCTTGCACGCAACATTTCCCAGGCAATTAAATGGACAGGTTAGTATCGATCGTGAAACGGCGAATTGTTGAGAAAAATTTTGCAACAGAGAGTTTTTCATTGGGAGAAATTTAGGAAATTTTTCCCGAATTTTGATTATTTGAAGCAATTCTAAGGGAACCGGTATTTTTTTGGTACATCAAATTACAGCTGAACTTTAATTCAATCAATATAGTAATAAAATAATCTTAATGAATAAAATAATAATAGAAACAAAATAAACATACTTCAGAGGAAAATATTTCATTACACTGAATGAAATGATAAAAATGTTACAGAATAATTTTCTGTCGGTTTGTATGTGAAGAGAAGTACCCTTTGATTCAACTGACTTGGCGGATGGAAGACGGGGTTTTGTGACCTAATCTAGGCTAGATAATGATCAGAAATCAAGCGGGCGAGAGAGACGCAGACTGCGTAGCGGGCGCGAGCGGTCTTAATTAGGTCACGAAACCCCGCCTTCCAGCCGCCAAGCCATTGAATCGAAGGTTAAATGAACTTGAAAATTGATCAACTTATAAAAAGGAGGTAGAGTATGTAAGGGACCGATATAAAATTTAAGTCAGAAGCCATTTAATGCTAATTATTCAACCCAACTAAAAAAAGATAGAATTTCCTTTGTTTTGCTTATGTGCAAAAATTTCAAGGAAGCGTTAGCGTTATTAAATAAGACCAAATTACCTCACTTCTTTTTTCAATCCCTAGAAAAAATTGTCTTTCTTTTCAAAAAGAGACCTACCCAGATTACTGCCAGCTTCTAGCTTGCACTTTCTTCGAACTTTCACTAAAAGGCGCCGCTGAATTGGCCCGCAATTTCGTTCCATGCCCTTGCATAAAGAATTTACTACAACTTTGCCACAATGAAAATTCTTCTATGAATGGTCCCAATCAGAAAGTTTGCGCGTTTATGTCACTATAAAGCTTCCGCCAAGTAAGATCATGCCCTTTTAGCGCGCAAGTGAAGACGTCGAAAGTACACTCGAAGTTATACAACTCGTTAACTACACAGAAAACATTGATGATATAGTCACGGTCTCCCTTCCGTGAAAGGGCAATCAGAGTTCAAGAAGAGTTCTATCAAAAAGTCTAATCAAGCGAGTAATGCGAGATAAGAAAGTCGGAGATATAAACTGTTTGATGGAACACTTTGAAAGGTTGCTAAATAGTGCGGTGTTTCAAAAAAAAATCAAAATACAAAGAACAGTCAAAGTGGAGAAAATCCACAATCTGTATATAAAAAATCGTTGCTATTTAGAAAAGGTGAAATAGCAGGAAACCCGCGGTTCCCGCAGCGAATGTGCCTGCAAATCTAGCACCTTTAGGATTGCCGGTTCACTAGTAGGGAGGAACTGGAGCTGTGAAAAGCCGAAAATGCGATATTTTGTCAAAACTTCGCCATAAATTGAAAGATTTTTGCGCAGGGACCAGCAAAAAGGCATTCTCATCGTTTCATTCCCGTACCATATACCTTCCAGGTTACGGTAGGTGGACGGTATGAAACCGAAACCTCAGATAAGTTATGACATCAACCTCAGGTTTTCAAAAGATTATTCAGCATACTAATCACCAACCATATCCATTCTTACGTTAGGGCCTCGCGACGAGATTACGGTAGATATACGGTATGGTGCATCGCAGGTCTGTTGTGAAATTTTTCGTGAAGTTTTCTTCATGATTTTCTTTCTGTCATTCTCCCCCAAGTCTTCTGCTTTTGTATCTTTCTTTTTCGTTCACAGCTTATCAGATAGCTCAACTTAACGCATGCGTGACAATGACCAAAGCGATATTTTGTGGAATTCTTTGGATTAGTCGCAATCGCACACAAAACACAATCTCAGCACGAAACAGGAAATACTTGACACGATCGCTCATATATTCGCTGTACTCCCAAGGGGTGCAAAGTGGCACTTTTTTCTGTTTGCTGATGTTTTCTTCCGCAGAAGAACTCGGCGTATTCAGCTGTTTGTTTGCTTTTCTTTGTATTGTTGATTGATCCCTGAGGAGGAAAAACGTGCTTCTGCGCGAACATGAGAACTCGCTAGCACCCCCTGTCGTACTCGTATCGTAGTGTGTTTGATTTGTGGACCGGGTATCCGGGTAGGCGGGGGAGGGGGGGGGGGGGGAAGCTTGCGTGGGTTCGGGTTGGCAGGGGGTTGCAGCGGAAATCCGGTTAATGACAACTGGGTGCTACTGAGCGCTTGAAGAAGTGACGGGACCGGAAGGTTGTGGTCGCAAAGACTTTTTTATGTTTAAAAATTCCCACGCTATTCTGAGAAGACTTTAAAGTAGATCAAAGCTTATGGAAAAAAATTTTCAAAATTTGCTCACCCAGGTTCGGCAGCAAAAAAAAAATCAGGTTACGCGCCAGGAAAAATGCAAATATCCAGATCATCTACATAATCCAATCGGTCCAAAAATTCGCATCTCGCTTCGAAAGCCTGATTCTCGCAGAAAAAAGATACCCATGAATTTCATCTGTTCAAAAATTTTTGCTCTTTGGAGATAACTTCATCTTTTCGCGCCGAGATTTAAGCTGGTAGTTTTATTAGATGTAAAAAAAAATAGATGGGACTGGACAAAGCAGAGAATTGCGATCCAAAGAATACTTTTCTTTCAATCAAACCAAACAGTTTATCATCATAACATATCATTTGAAAATGTAGGAAAACATTGAAAACCAGTTCAATATATTGGTGCAGTCCATAATTTTCTTCTTATAACAATTGCGTTTTTTTCTTTCTTGAACTCCGGACATTCTCTGTTTTACTTTGAAGAAATCACGTTTTGAGAAACCTAAATTTCGTTCTGCATCTTCAAGACCTGGAGTAATTTACGTCATTGAGATAATAAGGCTTAATTATGTAAATAGATATTGAAGAAGTTGACGCATCATGTAAAAAAAAACTTTTCTGTTATCACAATAGTTTTTTTTTATCAAAAATAAACTGCCATAAAAATACTTGTCCTGGGTAAATCTTACAGAATAGGAAAACTATTGTTGTTGATCATGGAAGACTCAAGGAATTTTGTAAACGTCAAACGAACCAATGATATATTTGTTTTGAGAAACATTTTCATTCATTTAATAATTTTCCTATAAAAGTGCGAATAGAACCTGGTAAACAAAACTTCACACAATGGGTAAGCTTCACCCCATTATTAGAATGTTGGTTAAATTACGATAAAGAACTGAATCAGTCAGCTTGAAAAACACTTTTCAAAATTCTGCTGAGTAGTGAATTGTCGGAGTTTTTATAAATAGAAGTGTTTTACAAAAGTGCTATGCAAGTGCAGCGTTGTTTTGAATTTACAAAACGCACAGACTTTCCCGAAACCAAAAAAGGAAAATCGCGAATTTGCAATTGTTTTTTAAAATGTTAAGACAAGTTTATCATTCTAAACTACTTACTGCAATATCGCTTAGGAGTAGATATACAAAATGAAAATATCACAATTTTCAGAGTTGACATTATTCTAGGCAATTTCTAGGTCATAATTTTGTGGCAAAATGATAGTTATCTCAAACAGAAAATATCAAATTGTCTTTTTTACATACCCTAGAACGCCCAACGCCACATAATTATAGAAAGATGGCAGGTAAGAGAAAGCAATCAGAGCATTAGAATTCGTATAAAAGCCACTTTCAAACAATACACAACTACCAATCAATAGAATCAATCAACAAAAGCCACTAACCAGCTTCAACTAAACGAGCTAAAAGGAGCACTAGTAGAAGAAATATCATACTCGTGAGTACGTGGCGCGCTGCATTAGTGTGTTGAATGAAGAATCGCGCGCTCGCGTTCAACCCGGGGGCGGGGCCCCCGTCCACCATCACCCGGCCTGGAGACGCAGCGTGAATGGTAAACGGGGGAAATAGTGGCTGCAGATGGAGAGCGCGATGATTTTGAGGATAAGGTAGGTGTGCAGGGGGGGGGGGGGGGGGAGGGAGGGGTATGTGAATTACCGAGTCGGGTGTTGAGAGATCGATGTGGATTAGTGTGAGTGTCGTCGAATGATAAGTCGGATTTTGCACCGATAGTCACTTAATTGACGATGGCTTCGAGCAAAAATCACACAAGTGCTAAGGGTTTCTCGAGCCGGATGGTTATTAGCTTATTTTTTGCAGGCTTAAACATAAGGAGGACCTTGCTTATCTGTTGTGTGGATAGAATTGAATATTCCATTTTTCATTCAACTGCTCAGTAGCGAAAAAATAATATGAGAAACTTACAACCGTTCTAGCAATCTTTGGTTGTCTTCATACTTGGTTTACTCATTTATCGATTTATGAAAGTGACCTTAAAATCATTTGTCTATTATTCATTATGGATTTTGATTCGGTAATATTTTTCAGCTTGCTAAATTCATTAACCCCTCCCTTCTAACATCTTACTCCAGGTCATTTTTATTCAGTTAATAATGCTGAGGTGTGCCTTGCACGGAAAAAAAAATTATTTCAAGTTGAAAATCAATGAGTTTGTTTGATAGAAATCGCTCTGTACAAGGAAATGTTTTGTAAACATTAGGTGAATATTCTGGGGCATAATCCAAGAGCTGAATGAGAAAACTTCAAAATTATAAAATTATCAAACACCTTGTTACCAGAAATTCTTTCAGAAAGGATGAGTCATGGAACAACGACCAGAAAAACTGAGGTAAACATATCTCGATAGAAGGTTTAGGGGGGTTCATAATTTTTTTTGTAATAGACGGGTTTAAATTTGTTGTAGTTCTTTTTATCTTTGAATAATTTGTATTTTTTTTGGTAAAGATTATTTGAATGCTTCTTTTGAACATCTTGGATTGCTTGCAAAACTCCTAAAAAAATTTTTTTGGGCCGAGCATACCTAGAAAGTGCAAGATTTTCTTTCTACAGCAGTCACTGAATCACACTTTCGTTTTAGCCGGTGAAAATCTAAATTTTTGAAAGATTCTAGTTTTTTTTTTCAAAGCCCTGAACCCTGTTCGCATTCTCGCATTCTTCGAAATTTCCACATACGTCTACGGAGCTTCCGCAAATGACCTGGTGGAACTCCATTCTGCGGAAGTTCCGGTCAACTGTCTGAATATAGATAAAGATTACATTATTTTTAGCATTTCTTCGTTCCGTAATCCATTAATTCTCCTCGTCATTCACACAATTTCACTATTAGATCCACTCTTTGTATTATACTAGCTGAGTTGCTTCATCCACCAGGTACACTTGATTCTTGGTTTTTCATTTTCATGCCTAATTTTTTTATTCTGATTCATATAACTCTTCCATTTATCAATATATATTTTATCCGATTCCTGGTACAGCCACCCAACGGTAAAGCTTATTCCATTTGTTTTTTCCGATGTGTATTCAACCTCTCTAACCGTACAATGATAGCTGAAAAGTGCAAATGTGTAGAAAGCAAACAAGACACTCCTTCCTACTTCAAATATTTATTCAGTGAAGATTATCGTCATAGCTTTTTAGAAAAAAAAGCTTCTTCTTTTTTTGCGTACGTCTGAGGGCGAGAAAATGTTGAAAGAAACGTTTCGTTTGTATTGTTCGATGGCGTTGAATTTCTTCGTAAAATCAATTTTCCAAATTCCTGACTACTTCGTCACTAGGCAAGTTGAACAAATGGAGGACAAGAAGCGAAGCGTAACGATGTTATCGTAGGATTACGCGAGTTTTGTTGCACTTTTGCCCCCCCCCCCCTCCCCAAAAGAGTGAGTTCTGCACTTAACAAGGCACTTTTATTGCTCGTCGTTCGGCGAAAAATAGGTTAAAGATAACATCTTGATTGAGTTTCGAACTTGTCTCATGGCAAGGGTAACTCAATAAATTTTGGAAAGTTTATTGCAAGGGTTATAGATTTTGTCGCGCATGAAGATGCCTTTGGAACCCTTTTGGATTGGTTTTATGTGACTATACTTTTTGTCTAGAAAACGGAACAGGATTCTCTAGCATTGCTTTTAGAACTCTATTCGCTAAAAGCCCATAAACTGTGAAATAACTAGTTCCCAGCGTCTTGAAGTTGGCTGCATGTTCTTCAATTTGTTACGACTTTCGAGCAAAGCGCAGTAAAATTTTGAACTAGATAATTTGCCTTCTCGAGTGTTTCTTTTACGGGATCATCAAACTCGGGGGTAGCAGTCATTCGAGAAGCTTACGGTCTTTTACTTTCATGAACTTTCCATCTGTTGAATTCGAGTAATGTTTACACAAAAAATTCCAGTCAAGATGGTCCAAAGATTCGCATAAAGTTTGATCCATGTGGGGCATGGAGGCAAGATCAAAAAATTTCAAGTTCCCATCCTACAAAATCCTCATTCTCCTGAAATTCCATTTGAGCAATTTTTGAATTCTGAAATAGCAGTCTCTACGAAAATTTCACGACAATTTCCAAAAAATTTTCACTTTCAGAAATTTTCGACTTTTTTGTTCCAAAAAAAGATATTCAAAAACTTTTTGTGCTAAAAATGCACCATTCCATCTTGCCATCGCATTTTCGCTCCACTTCCTACTTTTAACGCTGAAATATTTCTAATTAGTATGAATTCATTTGGGCACAAGGGTGGTAAAGAATGATTTCTCATTTTGTTTTTCGTTTTCAATTTTCAAAATCATTTTTACCACTTCGGCTGTGTTCACTTGATTTCATAATGGCATCGTTTGAAATGCAAAGATTATTTGACAGTCGCTGACAGAGCTTGAGTAAATATTCTATAATTACTTTTTCTTCTATCGAACGATATAACGAGTTTTAGTGACCGATCGAAAAAGCGAAATTTTTTGGGACGACTTGATGAATCGAATTTTATTGGAGTTAGAGTTCACTACTTGCCATCACATTCCCATTGTTGATGTTGTTTACAATATTTTCTTATTTGTCGACATTCGAGCCAAAATGTTACAAAAAAAAACTGTAGGTGGTCCTGACAGTGGATATAGTCTCTTAAGATTACAATTTCACCAGTTGATATTTCCTAAACTGAGATTTGACCTTTAAAAACTTCACTGAACCCAATTAGTCGAAGTTCTTCGTCTTACTCCGATAAAGCATCAAGAAATCTTGAACGTCATGACCCTAGGGAGTGGTGGCTGTCCATCTGGATGATTTGACAGCTTCACTTGAGTTCTTTGGGGCTTCGGAGGGGAGCAGTATGGGCTTTCTAAAAAAAGGTGATCAATTTCATTTCTGCTCCCAGTAGCCTTTATGCGAAGAATTTACGTTCTCTTTGAAAAATCCAATTTTCCTGAAAGATGAAATTCAGGTCAAGGTTTTCTTTGCTATTAGAATATCACCTTGTCTTGCCATCAACATCTCGTTCTATTTCCAGTTGATGATCAGAACTTGAATAAAATAAATAAATAAAAATAATAAATATTAAATAATAAGAATAATAATAGAAAGAATAATTATGATAAATAATGATAATGATAATAAACCTGGGTCCGGCATGTTAACACACAAGACTTAATATTCAGAACTTTTATACTTTTTGTTTGATTAACCACTTTTCTCTTCAACCACAGAGATATTACGAACGAAAATCGAAATAAAAAATGTGGCTGATGGACATATTCAACTAAATTTAATGCCAGCTGATAATTTCTTATCATTTGTTGCCTTAATTCGTCGAAAAAATTAATGCAAATTTCCAAGGGGCTCCTTTTCTTGAAGAAATTATCCTTAGTACTAAGTATAGCTTGGTCCCAAATTTCCGGATGATTTTAATCACTTTAACGGCGCAAAGTTTTTTTATATGTAAGTGTATTTTTAGCGTCCTGTTGAAATCGAGAAATTAATCCTCTTCTTTGCTGCAGACTGCTATTATTTGTAGATTTAGCCGATTATGCATGTGCACGAGAGAACCGAATGATTAATAAAGTTTTTCCATGGAAAAAACGGCGCTCTTTGAAGAGTAGGAATTGTCCCCGTGTAACTAAACTGTCCCGAATATTAATATCGCTATTTGAATTTGGAACTCTGAATTTTGAGGGTACTTTGAGCACTTTGAGCGCTCTATTCGCTGGACTTTTAGTGATCAGAATTATTGGCAATTTTTCCCCAAATGCTGAAACAAACATCAAAAAGCTATAGAGAGCAGCGTTACATCATTTTCTCTTTTTGTCAATGGGATTATCCACGTCCATGGCCACGTTCCAAAGCCAAATCCCCCTTGAATCCGTCCGGGATCGGCTAAACCATTAGAAAACTGGTTACTCGTAAGCTTCGAACGAGTTCGCGTACGGTTGTACAAAGCGATTTGTGCCTTCTCATTGGAATCGTGGTAAAAAAAATATGTTCGTTGTTACGTTTTCTTTGAAACACAGATTGGGATGGCGGATAATTTAGTTACATTTTTTCTTGAATTCTAGAAAGTTCCAGGAGCTCCCTGTAATCTTCAAATATACCCCATACCTGGAATCAGGGCCTGACCCAGGTGGTTGGTAAGCAATAGCTGGATATCGTTTTTAGGACAAAAAGCAAAGACGACATCGTTTTTGGCTGGAAAGACACGAATATTGCGACGTTTTTTTAATCGACTTTTCGTTTTTTGAGGGTTTTTACGTTTAAGGTTTAAAGTCAGATGGGACTTCGTACAAAATTTTCAAGGTCAAAAGCGACTTCGTTTGAAATTTCTCTGGTGCCAGCTCGTGCCGAGCCCTGCATGGGATATGTGATAAAAAATATGTCTGTTCTAGCCTTTTCTTCGAAACACAGATTGGGTTGGCAGTTAATTTAGTTACACTTTTTCTACTGAATTCTAGAAAGTTTCAGAAGCTTCCTGTAATAATCAAGTTTGCCTCATTCTTAAGGTATGACAGGGACTAATTAATATAATATCATAAAAAAATTCAATTTGTATTTATATCGACTTGATTCAATTCAATTCATTGATACAATTCGTCTTAATTTACTGACTTCAGTATTTCAACGTTAATTATATATCTAAATGATTAATTATATCACATATGCTGAATCACGAATTTACTTAAAAATTCCTTGGAAAGAGTATGGATGTAAATAGTAGGTAAAATAAAAGAATGTTTGTCTTGGAGATATTTTTGAAGCAGCTCCATGCAGGATTGTAGAGCCTATATCGTCAAAAGCGAAGAAAATTTGCTGTCTCTGTTGCTACTTACCTGGAATTCATTTTTTCAACCAATGCTGGTACAATGATGGTGTTGGAGAAGTCATTTGCATATTTTATCCCTTTATTTTTAGAACCGTGTCATTAAAAGTAGCACTTTATTCAAATGCAGCAGATTGACAGAGATAATCACATTTTGCCATAATTTTGCACTCTTACACGAAATTATTTTACACAGTGGGTACACAACCTTTTGACGTGCATCTGCACACGTGATGTTTGGAACAATAATAAATGACGTCTTTTGAACAGGTTACGATTGTAAGGTGATGAAATAGCAAAAAAAAAGTAGAAAAAGAAGTATTTGACGACAGCACAAGTGAGGGCCGTTCAAGGCGGATAGTAAAGAACACTTTGTCGCCTCTGTCTCATATTACTCGATTCGTTCTCAACAATTTGAGGAGGAAAGGGCTTGCACTCAAAACTCAGATAATTCTTGTCCCTTATGTCAGAACTGTCGATAGTTTCGTTTCTTTCATTTTCCATGTTTGTTTTAGTATTATTGGAATTCGTTTTAGTTGCTCATATCGGACACGCCTTTAAGCGACAAATTGAGTGATTATGAAACGAATTGAGTAAAAAAAAAGATAGAGCGCGCAAATCAACAAAATGTTTACAAACAAATGCAAGTTGCTTTAGATGATAGCTGATGCTCATCCGTTTGCATCCAGTATCCATGCTGAAACAAATGTTTTAAAAAAAGCTTATCGGTAATTTTCTTAGGATAAATCTATGCCCATCTTGCACAATATTGTTGCTATAAGGTTACGGCAATGGGTAATCGTGCAATAGTCAACTTCTTGGGCGGATTTGTCAATTCCACAAGAATATCAGTTGAAATCTAGATATATTCCCATGTTAACTCATAGAGTAGGCCAAACAAGGAGGTCCAGACCCGCGGAACGCTTATTTTTGCAGTCTATAACTCATCTTAAAGGCAACGTCCACCCTAAGTTATGGATCTTAAGCTAGTGGCAGCTTACGATAGTGGAAATCCCTATCAAGCCAATACCCAAGTCGCGGTGTAAAAGTCGCTTTGGAAGCGAGAAAATTCTTTCGTAATAGCGAAGAAACTAGGACCCCAAGTTGGCACCGCCCTCTCCAGCAATGCCCGCAAATCCTTGCCGCTCAGCCAATCACTGTTCCGGAGAAGCGGCCTGCGGGTTCTCCGGAACAGGGATTGCCGGGATTTTCGCTGATTCTCGACTTCATATTCGAAATTGAGGACATGAAAAGGCCCCGGAACGATCAAAACTTGGAAGTTGAGAACTTTGGGGGAAGGTGTCTTTGAGACGCAGCTGCGCTTAGAAAAGAAGAAGACCACGGTACGATGCCTTAGCTGACACCAGTATTTTTTTCTGGTGCGTCAACGTTGGGGATTATAAAAATATCGTCATTTTAATAAATAAATAAACAAATAAATTTTCACAATTGCATTAGATTTCTTCTCGTCTGTGATGACGACTTATCGAACAGGGAAAAAATTTCGGCAAAGTTCGTCACTTTATTTTATCCATAAATTTCTTTCTATTTACATGAATTCCTATCAACAATGTAGACATGACAATGAATTAGTTTTCATCACAGGCTTCTGAATGATCTTCATTTGCATTATCTTGCTCTCCCGTATTCTCAGTGGTACCGTGTGCCTGTTTCAAAGCGGTATTTTCTTCACGTAACCGTTCTACTTCGGCCAGGGCATTAGTCAATTCAGCGCGCACCTGCAAAGTTATTGTAAAGCAGAATCTGGTAAATTGGTTTGATTCGATCCTACCTGAGTCAACTCTGAGTCATCAATTGCTTTGGAGTTTTCTACATTTGCGTTGTAAGACCGTTTCAATTCTGCTATCTGAAAAACATTGATGAATGAGTAGTTTTAGCAAAGTAGAGAGTTGATTACCTCTTCTGTCATTGCCTTTTTGACGTCTTCTAGTTCTTTTATCGTATCATTGGCAGAATGCAATTGACCTTGCAATTCATTGCATTGCTCTTCAAGTTGTTTGCGTCTGAACTTGGGGCTGAATATTTGACGAGATGAAATAAGTTTTTGTAACCTAGATCTTAAAACCGAATGATTAGTAGGAAGAAGAACAGAAGGGAAAAGGTATATAGAGGGAATAGATTAATTTTTCAATGTTTAGGAAAGCAGAACTCATATACTGCCAAAATCAGAGGAAATGACCTTCGGCAGGATAAGTGTTGAAGTGACAAGTAGCTTAGAAAATTGATGAAGATACATTGTGACTGAATAAGTTTCGATAGAATAATAATAAGAAGTTATATTCTTATTTTGAAAAATGTTTTTACAGACATTCCTTCCTTATTGAGGAGTTCCGGGAAAGGTCTGTAAATGCTTTCACTCCATCTAAGGGCAGGAACAAAACGGAGCCTATTATTTTGTTATTATTAATAACGCACTAACCGGGGTCGTTAGTGCGAGGGCGGATGTCCAGGTGGGGATCGAGAGAGTAATAGAAGAATTTACTGAGAGACTAGATATAGGAGACCAAACAACAGCCGGGCGGCCTTATTTATAGCCGCTACGGTACAAAGTACATGATCAAGATCAACATTCAATAATCATTGCCTGTGGCCTATATGCACTAGGTTTCCATCCTTGACATGCCCCTCCGTCGGTAAGAGTCGTCCCGACTCTTATAACACTTCTTCCATCAGCGTGGGGGACGTCATTCACATTCACAGCTCGTTCGACAGCTTGTACGAGTGGGGGATAGCGGGTTCCACGTCCACGACTTGGTCGGCTTCTTGTGCAGTGTGGGGAATGGCGGTTCACGTCCTCGGCTAAATCGACGGGTTGTACGGGTGGCGGATAGCACGTTCCATGTTCACGATTCAGTCGGCTCGACAACGGGTCTTCTGTCTTTGCTCTCGGGCTATCGCGGTCCTTCGTCTCTGCTTTAGAGTAGTCAGATTTGCGATTGGTGAGAACGTTCAGTGGTAATCCGAACACCTCCGTTTGGACACACGCGTCACACACTTCCCCGAGAGGTTGTCTTCGCATCTGTTTGCGCTCGCGACTGTAAATGCAGTGAGCAGGGCGGCGACGATTGCCCTGTGCCTGGCCTCTCGCGGAGCTTCCATCTGAATGAAGGTGACTGATTCCAGTGGTGCGCTTCGATCCTTTGTCAGCTCGGCCTTCGGTACATGGCTTGCTCCTGTACCTTTCTTTCGTTCGCCTTCGTCTCGGGACACACGTCTTCGACGACGTCTTCTAGTCCAGCTCCAGATTTCTCGCCTCATCGCCTCCCAGAAGAAACTCTTTGATAGCTTCCTAAACAAGCTCCTTGCGCCTAAATACCCCTCATTTTTTGCGCTTCCTTGACTAGCTCTTTCTTTGAGACGGAGGCCTGAACCCTCTCCTGCCTGCATATAGCAGACGGCCTTGGTCCAACACAAAGTCGGATTTTCGAAGTTTGTCCATCCAGTTCGCAGCATCAGCCTCAGTTGGCTTTGCTTCCTCTTTTTCCTTTTCGCTGCCCGATCGAGCTTGTCTAGCGCTCGATTTACGGCGGGCTTTGCACGCATGTTGTCTGAATGTGCAAAAGGTTTGTGCTCTATATTACATGCATTCTCGAGCGTACCTTCCTCCTCTTCTCTTCTGAGCTTGGCTTTTGCCAAGCTGACCTCAACTTGAGCTTGGAGGTACTGCTGTTGTTGTCCGTATCGGAAACTACGCCACAGTGTTGAGCACTTCTTTGTGACACGCCTTTTCTAAGGACAGTCAAGATCTCATTCTTTGGTTGAGCTTGCACTTCCTTCGAAATTATGACACTTCCAGACTGTTGCCTTCGTCTATCCCGTCTCGGAGTCTTGCGCGAGACAAACCCCTGCGCAACGAGAATTTGACTAACACCTGTACCACACAGTCCAAGTTTCGGTGCGCGTTCATTCCGAGCACAATCCTGCCTGCCACCTCCTGCTCTAACAAAGAGGGCAATCCTGTGCTTAGCGCCGTTCTCTAGTTGCAAGGAAAGCCTTACCGCTCCCTTGAATTTCATCCGCTTGTTTGAAACATTGTGAACAAGATCCAGCTGGTCTATCTGGTCTATCGGGACCTCTTCTACATCAGTATCCTGGTCAAATCCTCTGCTCACTATGAGCATCTTCAAAGGTATGATACTGACTTGTGATCCCGTGTCCAGCACAGCTTTTCGAACTAGGCCCAGTAAACGCACTTTTGCGATTATCTGCTCACCAACTAGCTCGTTTCTCCTCGGCGACGAATCTACCGAGTTGCAGATCTTGTTCAAGGATGTCGCAAAGTTCCTTGCGGCTCCTTTGGGTACCCTTGCTGATCTCGAGGCTTTTGGCTTGCTACAGTCACGGCTGTGATGTCCCAGTACATCACAGTTGTTAGCAGCGCATTTGCCTCTTCCAAGATGCTGTGGAAGCATCTGGGGGATCAGCCGACTCTACGCCTCCGCCTGAAGTTGAGTTCTCACTGGCGGATGTCTCAGCGTTCGATTGCGGAATGGCTATTTCTCCGCATTTTTGCACCATCATGGCCAACTCCTTACTGCGCTCACATTGCAGTGTCATTGCTTTCACAGTTTCATAGGCCAGAACCTTAGATGCGCTTTCCAGTGTTGAGAAAAACTGCAGGTACTCAGGCCAGTCCCTCAACTGCAAAACCAATTCTGCAGCTCTTATACATGATAGCTGCTTGTCTGTGGTGTCTGGGTACGCTAACCGCGTAAGCCTCTCTAACTCAAGACAGAAGGCTGTAATGTCCTTTGTCATTCGCAGATGTTTGAGTCGTACATACGCAATCATCTGATTAGCAGACTCATTTATGCTAAATTTGTTTCGCAGTGCTTCTACAGTTTCTTCGAAGGTACTCTCTCGTAAACTCCTTGATAGTGTTTCGGCCACTGCCTTAGGTATCCGTCCAATTTAGACAGGAAAAGGTGTATTAGCATGTCGTTATGCAGTCCAAGTCTTCATTATGAATCTGCAAACAAAATCATCGAAGTTCTTTCCCTGGGAATCTCCATAGAGCTCAACCTCTGGAAGGGCCATTGCTGCAAATATCTCCGCAATATTTGCCTGTGCAACCTCACCCTTATCATACCGATTGGTCGACGGGCTTGTATGCGGAACTCTTTTTTGACACTCCGGCATCTTCTGCATGGTGTCCATCGGCTTCTTCAATGAAAATAATCCAAGCTCGATATCTGTAGGAGATAGAGCTTTATTTGAATCCAAGATTTTGTGCTTCACCTGCTGCACAAATTCAATCTCGATGATGTATCAGTTCATGGTACACACGCGTATATCCCGCCTCGCTCTAGGCTGGGTCTTGCGGTGTAGCTTACAAGCCACAAAGTATATCCCTTGGCCAAGAGGGACCTGTCAGTATACGGTATACGCGCCGCTGCTCCCTTGTAGGGGTAGATCACGGCGGCGTCACTGACACCCTCCTCCGGTCCTCTGCGAAGGCTCGATCTGTCACACAACGAGCTTCTCTTTAAACCAGGGATATACACTGCCGTTAGGCAGGTTACACGCCCTCACTGAGGCGGTTAGTGGCTGTTTGGTTCGGCTCCCATGTCAGGTACTAACCGGGGTCGTTAGTGCGAGGGCGGATGTCCAGGTGGGGATCGAGAGAGTAATAGAAGAATTTACTGAAAGACTAGATACAGGAAACAAATGCAACAACTCAAACAACAGCCGGGCGGCCTTATTTATAGCCGCCACAATACAAAGTACATGGTCAAGATCAACATTCAATAATCATTGCCTGTGGCCTATATGCACTACGGTATCCATCCTTGACAAATACTATTAGCGTAAATACTCGGCTACAAACGGATTTTCAAGATATGCAATGATTATAATGCAAAATCACATCTTTGTATGCAGTGGCAGAAAGAAGAAAAAAATGAAGAAAAAATAGATTTAAACTTTACGAATAAGCCAAAAGAATGATATATCAACATTCCGGAATTCAACAATTGATGAACACCAAATTAGGAGTCACACAAGTTGCGATTTGGCAGTTATTCTTTTTGGAATCAAAGTACGCAGCTTTTCTCTGCTACATATGCTTCAAAAACTGTGTACCCAAAATGAAAAAGGCTCAAGTAATAAAGGGCTGGCATTTTGCCAACCCCGGAAATTAGTACCTTTTGAATATACCCAAAGCTTCTGTATGATTATTACTGTACCGAAAATATGAATAAACGACCAAAGGGAAATGATGTCAATAACTGCCTCAGTTAAGAAGTGAAGAAACATAGAGAAATGGATATCGAACGGCAAAAGTGACTGCCGTCAATTGGCGAGTAAATAATGGATGGAATGACTGAGGAAATAAAATTCTAGAATTTTGTGTACTTACTCTCGCTGGGCTAGTGAGGTACGGGAACTGAGTATACTGCTCCTAGATGACGTCATCTCTGATTCTGATAGGGGCTAAAAATTGTCCATGACATGCAGTTGTCGAGTCCAGAATTGTTCCTTACATCATCATCTGTTTGCACTCCTTCTGTGAATAACTCTGGTTTCACATCACATTCTTCATCCATTCGTTCTACCGTAACCTCAGGAATCTCGAAAGACTGCAAGAGAACTTTCATCTCTAGGAAATCAGCATCCAACGTACCCTATTTTGTGCTATGCTATTCTGTACAACCAGTTTGTGTAGGGCCGATTTGGTTTTCATCAACTCCATTTCCACATCTCGTTTCTCGGACTGGATTTTGTCGATCTTAGCCTAAAAATGACGAGGGTTCGGAAAAAGGAGGGACAGCATTACAGGAAGTGGTGTAGGGAGTTTTTGGGATAACAGAAAGACGGGATAAAATTGTAGGTTCGTTCCGAGGAGCAAAAAGGGCCGTGCGTAGTTAGTTGATTCTCACCTTTGAGTTTCCGTGACTCCGATTTTGAGGGTCCAAAAAATCGCAATATTTTCTCTACGAATGTTTAGTTTCCTAATTTTGTAAAAAAAAATTTTTTTTCATCATTCTGACTTTGAGCATGTGAAATGGCAATATTTTGTGCCTTTTTTCTAGTGGAAAATGTGCTTGTTGATTGATCCACTAACACTTCGTAACGCTGTTTAAACTCACATTTGCTTCTTCGTAGGCATGTCTGAGTGCTTGACCTTCTTCCCGAGCTCTGTTTCTCTCGTCCCTGACCGTGCTCCATTTCTCACGCCAACAAGCTGTACATTCCGACCACCAACGCATGGTTTTCTCCATCTGAGCAGCGCGTTCCCGGGCCTGCAAGTGAAAATCGATTATCAATTGAAAAAATGAAGCGAAAGAATTATGATTGAGGAAAAAAAAGCTTTTTCAACCTCCTGTAATTCTTGCAATCTCACACTTTCGCATAGATCCCAGTCGGTATGTTGACATCGTCGAACAGCAGCCGTACGAGAGAATAAAGATAGTTGATCTACAAATAATTTGAATTTTTCCGATTTGAAAATTTTTACTTCAAATTTGCTTTTGATTCTTTTCATATCTTGGGAATTATCAGTCAGTGGTAATTGCAAAATATTGCAAAACCCCGATTGTGTTTTCAAAAAAAGCCTTGAAGAACCCATCAAAACGAAATCTTAGGGGTGGGAAAAAATTCGTCGCCTATATCTTGAATTGACACCAATAGTCTTTACAGAAATCTATAACATTTTTGGAAAAATGGGAGTGGTTAGGAAAATTAAAGTGGTTCTTCTAAACAACCTAGAAAATGAAGAAGGACTATATTGTTTTGTATGTGAGCTTTAGAGTGAATCAAACAAATAAACAAGGCATTTATTTAGTCCTTTTATCTCTCCATTCGTCGAGGTATTTTTTTAGAATTTTTGTGGAAGAAAAATCAGGAAAAGTTTGTGCGAATAAATATCCTCGTAGACTTTTGGATCAAGACAGAAAAATTCTTCATTCGTCTTCAGAGAATAAAAAAACAAATGCTCAGGAATTGAAATCGTATTATGATAAAACAAGATAAACAGTACCCGGAATACTTAATGAACAGAGAACGTGAAAAAAGTCAGCAATTTCGCTGTTCCTTATTTGATAAACAGACTTCAACTCGACAAATTTGCATATGATGATGCAAATAAGCGAGAACTCACCGCTATTACCCGAATATCGATTATAAACCGAAGAAGCTGGATCGGCCATAGTGTTGGACCGAGTCAGTGGGGGCAACTGGTCATCCAGTCAATCGTCGCCGGCAGCGTTACAACCGCAATCAGCTGTTGATGCTATGGAATCCCGAGGAACGCGGGCACATGAACTTCCAGGAAAAATTACCCCCATTAAAATTGCTTTGCTGAACTCAAAGTCGATAAATCAATAGTGCGAAAATGTCGGAAACCGTACACGCGATCGATCAGCTAGGAATCGATCCCTTGTCATGGATTGCAACATTCGTTTCGGAACATCTTAGCACAATTGATCTACCATTCGAACAACTGCAACTCTGTGTTCCCTTGCGGGGATTGATCTTGCGGCGTGGCGGATGATCGCGGCGCCACTACGCACTGCGCCATCAATGATCATTGGGAGGCTGTCAGACTTGTATACGACTCTTTGCGCAGATTTCAAAGGCCTTTTTCGATTTGGAAGAGTCTTTATTAACTTGAAAAATTGAGTACATTTTTTCGATCTCCATTTGCTTGAAACAAGTGAATAGTAATGAATAGAAATATGTATATTTTGTTATTATTATTGAGTAAAAAGAAATTCTTCGGCTACTTTTACATGCTATCATTCTTTATTCCTTTCACAAGACAGGACTTTTTTCTGACAACAGATTTCTATATTTCTGATTCATTGAAAATGGAGCCCTACACGTCTACTAAATGCCCTATATGATAAAAAATTCAGGAAATTCTTCAATGTGGCTTGTCTGAGATTTGATAAACATTCAATAACTTTCCCTAAAATTACACCCTAATGCTCCAGTGTTTTGCTTATCGATGATGATTGAACTATAAACCTGATTTCAGTGAGTAATGCTTTCGTCAGAGAGAAAAAAAAGATTTGCGTCTAAACGATGTCGTGTACTGTTCACTTTTTCAAAACTATAAAGAATTAAACGTTGTTTTCTAGTGAGACATGCAAGTTAGAAATTCCTCACGACGCCAAAGTACACACGATGACTAAATGGATTGTGATTTTTGGTTAAATAACCATGCAAACTTCAAATATGAGGTGTTCCAATTTTTAAAGCTTTTTAACTCTCTTTGAGAAGCATACTAAAGAGCGGCTCGCAAAAACGGCTATATGTTCAACAGCATACTCTTAGGTCGCAACAAAAGTTTTTCTTTTACACTTTCTTCATTTTATTCTAAAAATCTAGAAACTTCAGCAAGGTCTAATATTTGCCGTATAAGTAATGGACAAAAGATTTTATATTGGCATCACCACCTTTCATGCATGGGTTAAGCTTAATATAAAGGCATTCTTGTGACGGCACTTGAACCATTTTTTCTTCTCCTTATAAAATCCTCTTATTCATGCTTTTGATCCCCATAGATTTTTTACAGGTTTCCGAGAACATTAGAGCTAATATAAAGGCGGTTCGGAAGTCGCAGTTCCACAAGCAATTGGAAATTTGCCAAAAGTAACTCGAGAAAATTGCAAAGAATCTAAAAATTGGATTTTTTCAATGTATGACATATATTAGGTCGTTCCGAAAGTAATGTCGCTTTTTTCAAACGTACGCCACAACTCGTGGAACAAAGATATGTGAGAGGTTCTGGTTGCATTCGATACAGCATTTTATTCTCTATCTAACGGTTTTATAATCACCGCAATAATATAACCTCTCGAAAAATTATCAAAATCTGCGACTCATGCTTTTTAAGAAAGCCAATTTCCACAAGTTTTCTAAATTCTTATAACAACCCTCGGAAGGCGCCCAAGTAGTGGATGCATAAAGCAAACCCTACAAGAAACAGCACAACTTTTTTCTACTTTCCAGATCTCGTCACAATTTTTGTATAGATTTTTTGATGGAACCACCGAATTTTAGCAGGCTCGTCTCAGACACAAATGCATCAAACACCAATAAATCTTCGGATTTTGAAACTTACAAAGATGGATTAATGTTTGACACTAATTTTACAAACAAATGGACATTCATCGCTTCAGGTTAGCAACCTTCAAAATTTCCGTAGGTACAGGTACAGCCTGGGGCGCCCCGGAAAACCTGAATTAGATGATTTTATCCCGGATATTTTGATGAATCAGAAACAAAAAACAACTGATAGAAAGAGGAGAAAAAACTGCGTCGAATGACGCCCGAGTTGCTTGCCGGTTGTTGTTCTGTGAGGTTTTAGTTGACCAAATATGGAATTTGATAGCATTGAGTTGATTCCAGAAACCCTAAGAAGCAAGCTAAGGAAAAGAGAGAATTACTGTGTGTCCTATAGGGTTCGCTCTATTTACTAGCCACTTGTATTCTTCGGAGAATAGGTACAAAAATTTGAAGAAATAGCCGAACTTGACCATAACAAAAAGCATGAGTCGCAGATTTCGGTAATTTTTCGAGAGCCGATTGAATATTATGCAATGTTATGACAACCATTAGAAAGTGGATGAAATGCTGCATTGAATGCTCCTAAGATCTCTTGAAAATCTTGATTCCATGAAATGTGGCGTTCATTTTAAAAAAAGCGAAATTACTTTCGGAACGACCTGATATATAGCGAAAAGCTACAGCTAAACAAACTTCGTACCATAAAATCCCATTTTTAAATTCCTTCTATCAGCTTTAGCGATATTTTTTTTGTATAACTTCCGTACTTTACCACTCCCCTACCAGGTCGAATGCAGGAGAGATGATTCTTTTAGATTATTCGATAGAAGATGAAATTGATCCAGTTTGAAAATTTTGCTCTGTGTTTGCTGTACAATCTCTAAGAACTAGATAGATGCATGTTTTGGAACTTCCTGGCGTGTTTGATTCAAGACCCTGCTGCTAGAAAAAGAAGGGCTTCTTATTGGCTGCTTCATGAATACTTATAGTTGTTGATAGGAAGTTTATTTGAAAAAACCAGGTACTCAAATACTGCTGAATGTCTATTATCCCGAATGTGATGTACAATATTGATCACAGAGTGTGCAAAATTGTCGCGTATGTCGCAAAATTTCCAAAATTCAGCGAAGGTCCGCGACATTCACGAAAGTTTTGCACATTCCGTAAGCAGTATTGTATGTTTGAGAAAATGTGTGAACTCTACAAACAGTCGACCAATTGTACATCGACTGGTTTTGAGGTTTCAGCATTTATTTTGGAACAACTTAGCACAATTGATCTATTTCTCGAACAACTGCACATCGGTGTTCCGTATAGGGTTCGAACCTGGAATGCCATGATTCGAAGCGACCCCCTCAGGCGCTACTCTATTGATACGGGACCAATATTGCACATATGTTTATTCGAAAGCGCGATACTTATCAAAAATGTGTATACTGCAATCAAGATCGTTCAAAAAAAGTGAATCAATTTTTTTAGAAAACTGGTATATACTTATTGTCAGAAATTCTTGAGCGTGGGCTGATTTCTACACCTTCTTGGCAACCTTCAGGTATATAGCGCAGCCGTAAGCTATCTGTAGTTAATTCGAAAAGTTAATTCACCCGAGTATTCTTGAGGTTAGCTCGGAGAAGGTTATGGTGCTGAGTATGGTGACAATCATCTTTTCGCAATGAACACTGTAGCAGAGACACACTTTACAGAAAGACATTTTTACGCGGATGTTCTGCACCTTTATCAAAGGGCCCATTTTAAATGCCAAGAAAAGCAGACAGTTGATGCTTATACTGTAGGGATACTGTAAATGAGCAAAACATTGCAAGGACTAAAAGTTCCCGTCTGTTGAGGTACATATGCTATAACCTGTACTATTAGGTTGTCCGGAAATTAATGCAGGTATCGCAAATCTTCATTTCAAAGTGTCATATTCCTTTAGAATTCCATATTTTAGAATGAGATAAGAACCACTATGATCAGCAAGTCTCTTTCTATCTAATGCTATCCACTCATATCGGTAGCTCCAACAAGCAAATTACTGGAAACCAGAAAGTAAGAAGAGTTTTATCTACATAACAAGGTCACCTTCGGCAAACTGTAAACTCCTATCGGATATGAGTGTTCAGCAATAAAGTTCTGCTGCTCATAGCCACAAATCAGTGCTACATATATAGTTATACAGAAATTTCTTATGAGTCTTCTGCGAAGCAAAAAATGCGGAATCAATTCTTTCATTTTCCACATTTTCTCTACGACTGCGATCTCCGGGAATTTCATATTTTTATTCACTCACCAAAAATTAAGCCTTAGGGTACCAATTGAAATAGCCTTGACGGCTCTGGCTCAAAGTTGTTAGAAAGGAAGGCTACTGTTCATTTTGTAGTTCGCTCAGCGTCTTGCTTTAGCTATATTATCATAAAAAAGTTCCTCTTACCGAATAAGTTGAAGCCAAAGTAGTGCAAAGGGTGAATTTTGTGATCCAAACTTCGTCTTGGGGTGGTCGTAAATTTCGAAATGGAGTTGATGGTAGAAGTAATTTATCTAAGAAAGAGAGCATGAAGAGCGTTTTCTTACAATATGCGGAATTGGTCGTCGCAAGGCACATATATAGAAGAACGATTTTTTTGAAAATGCATTTGCGAGAACCTGCATTAATTTTCGACAACCTAATACGGTGAAACACGATCTGATAGGACATGATTATCTTGGCGCACGAGTTTTGGCCATACTGTAATTGAGCGGCAAAAAAGCAACATTTGGTGAGTTTGGGAGCCTTACTGACAGTGCTTTCGGATAGTAAGTAAAACTGTCCTTCTCACAAGGAAACGATCCCAACTCAAAGGCACTGTCCACGCTAAGTTGAGTGTGTTGAGCTTTTGGCAGCATATAACAGTAGGGTCTCCTATCAAGCCAATGCCCAAGTCGCGGCGCAATACATATGCCGCTTCGGAAGCGAGATCTCTTCGGAAGAGCGAAGATGCACGAGGACCCCATCCACGCCCGCCCATTTGTGCGCGCTCATCCAATCACCGTTCTAGAAAGCCGGCCTGTAAGTTCTCCGAAATGGGGATTGTCGGGGTTTTCGCGGATTCTCGACTTCATATTTGGAATCAGGGACATGAGACCCTGGAACGACAAAAACCTAGAAGTCAGATCTGGGTGGACGGTGCCCTTGAGGAGGCGAATTGGAATGAACTGCATATCATTGGATGCGTCATGATGAGCTGATTCCAAATCTACCTTTCGTATCTGTGATGCCGTTCTCTGCAGAAGTTATGAGCGGTTGAAAATGTGAAGTCACTGGGATTTTAATGCATAATGTGCTACAAAATCCAACTTCGGAGTGTATGACTAGCATGATACTGAGTGTACTGATCTCAAGAGAATGCACACAATTAAAAGAAACACAAATAAGTGTTTTTGAACAACTAAAAGCAACTAAAGTTTTTTGGTGAGAGCTATGAGCAATGAAAAGTCCAAATTTGACAAATAACAGCACCATACCTCGAGAATTAGTTGTTCAAAAAACTTATTTGTGTTTCCTTTAGATATGAGCATTCCTTGAAGTACACTCAACTTCTTGCTAGTCATGCACTCCCAAGTTGGATTTTGAAGCACATTATGCATTGAAACCCCCAGTGACTTCACATTTTCAACCGCTCATATCTTTTTGCAGAGAACGGCATCACAGATATGAAAGATAGATTTGTAGTCAGCTTATCAAGACGCATCTAATGATATGCGGTTCATTCTAGTTCGCCACTCAAAGTTGGGATCGTTTCCTTGTCGGTAAATTGCAGACGTACGAAGTGATATATCATGAATTTTTTTTCAAATCGAAATTCCGTCTATGGCGACTGTGTAATACACTAATAACACTAACCACTTTCAGCTTGTACGGTATCGATTTGCTTAGGAACGTGTCAAATGAGGTCATAGCATAAGTCTGCTTTATAAATTCATTCTGATAGGTTATTTGACAAACCAATAATACTTTTGTTTATTTATTACGCACAAGGCTGCCTTAAATATTATATAACAACGTTCTGAGAACGTAACCAACAACAGATACAACAAACAAAACAAAAAACATCCAATAAGTCAGCTCAATTTCAGTCACCAAATAGTTGTAAAGAAATTAAGGAATTAAGTTTGCATAGCTAGGTATGAAACCATAACTTAAAATAATGGCGTAAAGACATGGAATAATGGCGTAAAGACATGGCGTCTGTCCCATGCCCTCTGCTTGCCAGGAAAGGCGATCTTCAACTATCTAGTGTAAGCAAACTGGGGTATGCGGTATTCATGGAAATGTTTCTAAGAAGTGCAGAACTCCGATAGCGGTGAAAAAACTGCATAATGCAAAAAATGATTGAGCCTAACAAGCTATTTTTAGGTAAAAACGAAGGGGGCTGCATTGGACTCAACCCAACGTGTGGACGAAGTATTAGGTTGCTGCAAAAATAATGTCCGTTTTGCAAATTTTCAATTTGGAAGGCTATAACTTTGTTCGGTCTTCACATTTTTGAATGCAGTCAAGAACATCAGAAACAGCAAACCTTTCGTAATTCAAAGCGTACCTGCTCATACTAATATCGCAAACGGGAAGAAAAACTATGCGTCAAAAAACCGAAAGTTTTTTGTCGTAAGTTGATGTACTAGTATTTATTATGCCGCACAGGTTGGTATGGTGGAACTTTATTGACCTAACGTTTCGAACAACTCGTCTTCGTCGGAGGTCTGAAAAGAGAGTTGTTCGAAACGTTAGGTCAATAAAGTTCCACCATACCAACCTGTGCGTGATAATAAATACCAGTACATCAACTTACGACAAAGATGCCCAGGTTCGAAGACGAGAACACATGAAAACTTCTTACTGAAAGTTTTTTTTGAAAACCTCGTCTTCAAGAGCTTACAACTCCCTTCAAGTTTCGTTCTCATGTCTAACAATCAGCTTATTTTGTAGCCGCAAGCCATGAGCCACTTTGTATAGAGAAGACTCCAACGAAGGATTCTGCGAAAAAAAGATAGAAATTCAAAAATGATCACTTTTTTGAGTCTATTTGTTGTAGGCTTGTAAGTGTCAAATTGTAAAAATTAGGAATCTTCGCGCACTGAATAGGTAAGTTTCCCTTCAAATTTGATAGTAAAGGTGTGCTAATCTGAAGCTTACAAAAATGAGCGAAGCTTTGGCAATTGCCTTATTCATGAGAAATTTCTGACCCATAGAATGGCAGCAGCAAGTATCTATTTCGAGGCCTCAATTTCTCACAAGGGAAGGATACTTGATCGAAGTGACGTTTCCATATAAGACGTACACTACCTTACAGAGCACGAAACGCTGATTCCAAATCTGCTTTCGATATCTGCAAAGCGCTTCTGAGAGAGGAGTTCTGAGAATTTTTTGAGGTGAAATTTCAATGGTTTGGCTGAGATAAAAGGAGGTGTTGAGGTCTTTCCGGCGCTTGAAGGGGGTAATGATTGACATAAGTTAATTGAGTTGAAGATCTTTATTCTATAAAACGCCTATGTAGTATTCACGGGCCCACTTGAGCTCACGGACTAAGGTTTTGATAGATTTTATTGCAGCGGCGATTTCAAATTTTTGCACCAAAAAGTTTCCGTGACTCCCTTCCCAGAAGCGCTTTGCAGGTACCGAAAGTGGTTTTGAAATCAGCATTCCATGCTCTATAAGATAGCATGCATTGTATAAGGAAACGCCACTTCGACCAAGTATCCATCCCTCGTCAGTCCATTACCAAAAATCTACGTCAAGCAGTAGGTATATAATCTTCATCCAGTACAACTGCTGTTTTCAGAAGAATTCGTTTACTTACTTTTGAATTGTGGTCAAGAAAGTGAAAGCTATGAGAATCCGATTTTGAGTGAGAATGCGCAAAATGCTGGTGAAAATCTCAAAGATAAGGATAGCAGCTTAATTCTACAAACATTAGAAAGTACGTGAAGAGAGCTTTCCATTGATATACAGATTCTATATCGAAAAAGAAAGTTTGGAAAAAATGGATATAGGCCTAGAATAACGGACATTATTTCTATAACAACCTAATATAAATAGATCGAACACCAACATCAGAGGACTTTAGCTAAAGTTAGCTCTAACTTCCTCGGTTCTACGATCAGTACCTATCACATGTGGTGCGTCAAGCGACTAAGTAAATTTTACGTTCATAATGAAACATCCACTGATTATTTTACAGCACGTACTTTGTTAAGTGTGCGTTGCACATTGAATGTGCACTTTTGCAGGACAACCGCAACTTGGTAATTTTGGATAGACTAATTTGAGAATGTTTTAGCACTTTTCTAAGGATCTAATATATAAAAGTACAGGTGTTTTCAGTGAATGAGCAAAAGGAAGAGAAAAATGATAAAGCGCATCTATAGTTCTCTTCTCCCTCTTTGGTTGCAGTGCTGTCGCGGCTCGCGCGGTGCAAGTCTCTCCTCAGTACAAGCTCCGGGAGCACTGCATGCCGCTGAATGGGACGCGCTATTATATCGCGCCTGGACCACTCCTTACTGGGTGCGTTGCCAAGTCGTGGGGTGTATAAGGCTGCGCAACTAGCGGCATATGCCTCTTTGAATCCCAACCTCGTTTTCAAATTGCTTTCTGATTCCTCACGTTCTCTCATTGATTGAGTTCGGCAGCCCCCCCCCCCACAGTAAGCTCCCGTGGATGAAGTCTTGTTTTGGCGGTTGAGCAAGGTGATGGTTATATCACTTGAATTCTGTCATGCTGACGCGGGAAGAAAGTTTAATGCTTTTATGAAATTAGTACCGGGAGCGGAAGGGGCTCGTACCTTTCTTGCGCGGAGACGAGTAAACTGTCGACCCTGATGGATTTCCCTGACATCATGTACTGGAATCAGTTTGGTAATCGTCGGCGGCTTGGGACGAGGCGGACGCGTCCCATATTTTCATTTCTCTTTAATTTAGGTGGTTTCGTAGCGTAGTTCCTTTCTACTGTACTTTTCTGTCAGAAGGACAAATGCATGTAATCTACGCGCGCGTCTTATTGTCAGGTAGTGGGGCAGTTGGATGGACGCGCTGGAGTAACTAACCGGCGCTAGGGTTTGTAGGCAGTAGGTGCAGAGTTGCGCAGGCAGTCGAGCGGGGCAAGGTTAATACGGTATTCAACATGCCATCATCTAATTAATAGCATTAGACATGACTTGTAAAGCAACTTTCAAAAGGACACAAGCATGTAATAACCTTTTCTCCTGCACTCTACCATGTCTCTACAATGGCGTTACAGCGATGACCCTTTAGGCGAAGTTTTAGACACGATTACAACCCACTGCCGTGTACCTGTAACTCTACAGTATGTCATCAACGCAAGAAAGGTGAATTAATTACATTCAACTGTTTTACTGTTACTTTATATACAACCGCCTGTAATAGCTTTTTATCGCAGACCCACAATATCTTGAACTGCGGTAGCCAATATGTCCAGCAGGAAATTTTCCATGTTGAGCTGAGCAACTAAGTAGATTTAGGCGTAAACGCAGGGTCACTTTACTATCTTCTTGTGGCTTCCTTCAACACTACACAATCGTCGATATAAGTATAGGTACAGCACTGATATTTGAAATTAGATATTATTTATAACGAACAAATAACCAAACGAGCACAAGTATAGCCGTTTTTTGCACAATTATGAAAATGTACACATTCTAGGCAAGATTCTCTGCGAGATTGCTCGAGCTTGTTACAACAGAATTAATTAGAGATCGTCAGTTGAGAAGTCGAGATTGGATTTATAGCACTTTCAAAAAAAGCCAAGAGCAGTTAATACGAACAGCTGATAATAGATCAAAGATGAGAAAGAATTTTTATATAAAGTAACAAGATACTGGACCGGGCGTGAAAAAGCGTTACATAATGGGGCCCTTATTTCTACAAAAAATGTTTATACAGCATCTGACGTGGTTTCGCTTTTCTTTGATTGAGCAATAGCAGGTAGCGATACAGCTCTTGATAAAACTTTTGGACTAGTACCATTACGTGAAGTGATAAATATTACTGTCTGCTTGTTGCCACATGACTAGAAGAAAAAAATATTTACAACAAGCAGATTTTAAAAGAGGAAATTATGGTTACGATATTTTTATAGTGAATAGTGGGGATATGTGCAAAGTTTGTATATAGTTTAGGACAACAGATATTTACACAGTTCTACAAATAATCACTGAACGTGAACCCATCACCAAACGTGCCTTTTGTTTCATTCCAAGTATTTCGAATATTCGCTTCTGGATTCGCCTAAAATAGAGAAAGTCGGACTTTTAGTATATAAAGGAGCTCTGTGAAATACATACTTATTGATCAGTAGATAAGGAAGAATTATGGAAATGTAGAACCCCAGAGTGATAAGATTTCTGGTCAACAAGCCCGTTATCGACATCACTCGTTTCTCGAAGAATTCCCAGTAGATGAAATACATACACTCAATGGACACGAATAGCGCTACCTAAACGAGAGGAGGTGTACTGTAAGTATAGTCTGCGTTACGGTAAGATTACGGTACCTGCAATGTCATGCGAGACTCATTAGTGGTGAACGATAATGAATGACGACAGTAGAGGTAGGTGAAAATTATCGAATAAGCAAAAATATTCGTTCCACCCAGAGTATAGTTGGCCACTCTTTTAGCCCTATAAGACACAAATTTTCGTCAAAATTGTACTTTTTTGAATCGTAATCGACTTACAATCGCAGCAACTCGAAATTGCTCTCTGCTAAATCGTCGTATGAGAGGAGGTTGGGTACGAAGTGATAGTGTGTACTGCTTGGATATGTGAAATAAACAATAATAGCGAAACAAACTGCGATGAACACGAGTAGACCCTGAAATCAAGAAATGATAGAATTTTTCCCAATACGCTAATATATTTCTGAACATTCAGAAACAATTAATGATTTTTACTTCACACTTGATTCGGTTTTCGATTTAGCTCAATTTGCATATATAGTTATTTCGTAGCATTATTACCGCAAAGAATTGTTTCTTTTTATCACAAATTTCTGCACGCTATTTTTTACAGAGAAGTTCAGTGGAGTTTTTTTATGCTATAAATTAGCAAATCTCTTCTCTTCCCTACTGTAACGAAATGGCTTTTATTTTTGTTTTTGAAGCAGGGTTGATTCTGTCGACTACTTTTCACAGATGACCCAGCTGCTAGTACATTAATCTCTAATCTCAAAAATTCTATCTCAAGTAAGAGATGGTAAAACAGATGAAAAGTAGAATTTTCCATGAACTTTTTGTCATAAGACCTATTAAGATTTCATATTCACGTCTTACTTAAAGTGAACAAAAAGCAACTGTCAAGAGTCACGTACAGAGCTCAAGCTCGCGTTTTAAACAATTTTTCGAGATTACAATAGATATAGGCAATCAACTGCTATTGAGAGCAACAATCATAATGACGCCTTTCTTACTTTAATCAGATAAGTAATCAAACTACCATACCTTCATGAAATATGGCTGTACAAGGTTTTTGGCACGAGTGGCGAAAATTGTATAGACCACTCGGTGTATAGTAATTAGTACGGTGATTAGGATTATGGAAAAATACGAGGCGAGGTCAAGAGATCCGAGAGCCTGGAAATAGAGCAATTTTTTTGATAAATATTGTAGAGATTGGAAGTGATCTTTACCGTGAAGATATGATGATTAGAGCAGAAATCCACGTAGCATAGTGCTATTATGTTGCAGATAATATAGTTTCCAAGCCTTATCATAGCACATATTGACATAGTGATCAGTAGGGTAAAGGCAAAATTTGACTCCCATCCGGCCATTTTTCGAACTGCCTGAAAGGAGGGGAATACTTTTGAAAGTATAGATTTACGAAATTTCCAGGAACTTACGGCGATAAATAGGACATGTAAGGCAATGGATACAGCCGAAAGAACGATAAATAAAGTACCAGCCGCTGTTCGTGAGGTACCGTAGAATATAGGGTCTGGGTCGACACAGTAACTCACAGCCATATCTGAAAAGTTGAGTGAGATCTAGTAGTGAACGTGACAATTTAACTTTAGTTTGAGAAAATATTGCGCTGGAATACAAGTCTCCCAGAAAAATTCAAATTCAAATCAAAAATTCAAAATTCAATTCAAAAAATCCATAGAATTCTTTTGAATTTAGTGAATTCAATTCATATGATATAAGTTGGAGGGAGCAAACCTTGGGTTTTCCTACAGTAATCAAAACGAAAATCACTGTTGACAGCGGTAAAAACTAATGAAAGGAAACACTGGAAAATTTCATTGGATTTTGATGGCTAACGCTATATATTAGGTTGATTCATAATTAATGCACGTTTTTCTCACCTCTTCTTCCAAGAGCTGGTATGTGATGTGCAACCAATTCCCTCAAAAATTTTTTGCGTTTTCTAAAAGAGCGTTTTTTCTAGTTTCTTATGCGGCCCTTCGCTTTCGTAAATCTCATTCCAAAGTTCTGAGCCTTCAAATAAAAGAGACTAAATACCAAGATTTTGCTTTTCACTCTTTTTGCACTAAATCCATGTGGAATAGCCGGATTAATTTCAAAAAATATGCATAAGAATTAGAAAACTTTGTTCTACAAGATGCTATTTGAACAAAATTCTCCATGAATTCTGAGCCGAGAAATTCAATTGCGAACTTGAATGATCACCGCGGCCCTTCCGTGCCATATAAAACTTTGATACAAAAGGTGATTGCAGGTCTTTTACACTATCCAGCAAGGGTAGACCTAGTTCATTTGATGGTAGAAAAGCGCTAGGGTTTTCTCATTTTCCAACGGAGAAAAATGAAATAATTTCAAAACTAACCGATCTTTGAGCCCGCCGAGATGCCAGAAAAAAGCGAGTACTCTCAACTTTTTCGCGATATTTTTTTTCAAAAATTTTCCGTTAAATCCAAACTTGGCACTACTGCTCAAAAGACCCTTGGCTACACAAAGAGCGAAGTCTGCTTTATCCTACTTCATTTCAACATAAGTTATGCTCTCCCAAAGTGGAGGCTTTTGAAAAAAGTTGTTGGCAATCTTCAGGCCAGAAAATCTTTCTTGTGATAGATACAGTCACGCAGAAGTATCTGTTTTATAGCCACTGATTTGTTGGTTACAGAATTTTTTATTGCGCCCAGAAATGTCTTTTCAAAAAAGAATTATCTCGGTTGAAAGTTGAAGTATAGAAACGTGCATTGATTATGAATCAACCTAATATCTCAAAATCCTCTAATTTTGATAAATTTATGCTAATTGGATTTTTCTATAAAAGTTATAGCTTCGGTTCTCTAATTCCTTTTTAAAGTTCGACTTTGTGTGAAATGAAGTTTCTAAAAATTATCTCAAAATAAACATATATTACACATAATGGAGAAAATATCATAAGTTGAGAAGTAATTTGAGTAGTTGATTATAAGTAGAGTATAAGTTCCTAAGCATCTTTGTAAGCAATTTCTATGAAAGATTTATGTTACAACCTAACAATTAGTTCGTCAAGGATGGAAGGCGATACATTTAGAACTTGCATAAAGAAGTCTTTTATGAGATATTTAAGTGTAAAGATGGTTAATTATTGCGACTTTTAAGTGTAAAAGTTGTCTGTTCACGCAAATGAAGCAAGTGTACAAATTCAGACATCGAAAAGAACAAAAGAAAAATGAATTTAAGAGCTCTCAGGAATAAGTAATATGACGGAAGTAAGATGTATTAAGGAATGTCATTAACAGAAAATTGGTAGGAGGCAACATCTTAATGAAGCGCTCGAAAAAAAGAACCGAAAGGCGGAAATGGACGAAGCAAATGAAATGCTTCTCCATCTTTGAATTTGAGCCAGATGTCCAGATGTCGACTCCACTTGTTGTCGAAAGCACATTAACCAAAGTCTTTTGAGCTTGGACTCATTTAAAGGGATATGTTAGGGGTTTTTGCCAAGGTGCATTCGCAGATGACAATCAAAATGAAGAGCTGTATATTTATTAGTGCTATTCATCGAGTGACACTGCTGAAACAGGGCATGCTTGATATCAGTTTAGATGTAATGATGGTTCAGAAGGGGAAAAAAGTGCAGAAAATTGACGAATTGGATATACAAATGTATTCAAGAATTAAAAGTAGCGTTGGATTCTGGGAGAGCGGCATTAACCGGAAATCCAAGCTATCCAGCTTCCCTTCCACTTTTCGAAACTCTTTCACGCATCGTAAAAAGCCGTCATAAGAAAGTTCCAAAAACAAATTATTATTCACCAATAATTTATTTTTTATTTCATTTTATTTTATTTAGAAATACACTCATGGTGCATCTTTAAAAGAAAAAAAGCAAATTCGAGTAAGCATAATACCAGCCAGTCTCAAATATAGGGAGATTGTGATATGCAAAAAGAAAAAGAAAAAATTTGAAAAAAAATTTCTAAAAAAATTAAGAAAATTTCTTTTTAAAAATCAAAAACAAAAGTTGATAAAACAATAATGTGCTCGCTTTTTCAACATATCGGTATTGCCATTGACGCGCTTCAAAGTAAAAATTATTTATATTTATATTTATATTCATATTTATATATTTTATTTTATTTTTTTAAATTTTATATATTTATATTTAATTTATTTATTTTTTTAAATGATGTTGATTTCATCCCAAAATCTAGCTCTTCTGAAAATGTAAAATGGAAATTTCAAGAAGTTACCAAGTTGGCGTGGCCCTTATTCAATGAATTGTTATGACAAGCCAAAAATAAACGACCTAATGACAGAAATAATATTCGACTCTTAAGTGAGTAATTTGTTTGAATACAGTGGCATTTAGTTTTCGCTTTAAAAACCTTTTAAGCTGGAATAAAGAGTAAGAAGCAATGAGTCGTGATGTCGCCATTACTCATAGGCTTGGGATGACGCCTATGTATATATCTGAGCTTTTGCCCTTAGTTGGCACAGTTTGTAGAGCAAATTAGCTCGGTATAGCTATAGTACAACGGTTATTGACGTCATCACGCAAAATCAAGTGATTTTCGTTCCAGCAGTGCTTCCAAATACATTTAGTTATTGTAAGTGATGCTGAAACTGATGATGATTTTCCTGAGAGATATTTGATTGCGATGGAAAGAAATGTGCAAGAACTTTTGAACTGCGTACATTTGACAAGGATTTTGAGTAAGATTATGTAATTTGTAGTATCGAAATAAAAAACTGACGAGGATATTCTCTAAGGTATGAGCTTCTTAGGCTGAGTCAAAAGCACCAGAGTCCATGATTTAAGTTGACAGATGAAGTTTGAAACATTAAAACCTCTGTAGATGAACAGCGCCGGTGATAAAAAGGTTATTAGAACCTTGTTTTCTCCTGATATTAGAAAGTAATAGACCTTCTTTTCACTACTTGGTAAAAGGATCCAAACGATCTTTAGAAATTTGCTTGTTCCCAAGATCAAATAACTTGCGAGTTTCGTAGATGAAGAGCTAGAAAAACGTGAAAAGGTTTGAAACCGCTTGACCCTTCGCTTTCCGAAATCTAGGCTTTTAGACGAATGTCTTGAGATATTTATGCCACAAAACATTCAAAAAACCCCCATGTCACGAATGAAGTAGCTTTGTTCCCTTTCTTTTTTTTGCTGAGACTAGATAACTCATCCCAAATCGGTCACTTTGAAATCATTTTTGTGAAAGATTAGCATGTTGTATCCCCATGAAAGTAAGAGTAAAGATTTTTTGAGGTGCCAAAAATTCATGATAATCTTTTTGAGCTAACAAGCAAATTTGATTTTGTCATAGTTTTGGACACATGTTAACGAAATCCGTTTATCCTCTATTCCTCTATTCCTTACCTTTCCGCGAATTGGATAGAGCAATATTTGAAGCAGTTCCCCCCCCCATCTTTCTAGCAGTCATATTACTTAGATGATTTTCTTTCGAGAGGCTCAAAGAATCCTCAAAATTTCAACATCGTTTTTCATTTTGTAACTCCAGATATTCTCTGATTTTACAAAGTTTTGAGGATAATTCGAACACTTAAAAATTGGATAAGTCTTTTTCGACAACTCCTTAAAGTCCTTTCTAGTCCTTTACAGGGTAATGGATTCTCATAAAGCCCTCAATTTTCAGAAAATAGCATGTAACAAAAAATGCGTAGAAGCCCACAAAATCTTTGACATTTAGTGGGTTCAGGACTTCGTTATTATCAAATCTTGATTCTGTAAGTAATCAAGCGTCCATCGCTTCATATCATTTTTCGGGCACAGCTATGCGAACTGTAGAATCTGCATCTGAAATTCTTAAATTTAGAAATTCTGCGGTTAATCTCAGCAATAACTGAATGGCTTAGCGAGAAAAGATGATAAGGGAAAAATAAGTCGGGTATCGCTCGAGAACATGTATTTATCCGATTTGAGGATAGATTGAAAAAGAGATGTACAGTACCCGTTGGTTTTGCTCCCTAGCAGTCCTGTCCTTATAAACAACACTTTCAGAATCTTTCAACATTTTTGAACAATTTTCAACATTGTAAAAAAACTTTGAATCTATTGAGTAGATAGTAGTTGGTTTTTTATAGCAAAAGCTGATAATTAGCAAGTAGGGAGAGTGAGGGAGGCTTGAGAACTAATGCATCAACTCTGTTAACGAAGCTGATTCTTTAGCACGTAACCTGATCATTTAGACTACTCTGTGCTCTAGGATAAACAACTTAGTAAACCTAGTAGGATGCACTATGAAGGCAGCAGCTCTACAAATGAGAAGAATCAGATGTAAGCCTTTAAGAAAAGCCGAATGATATTGTTTTGAAAGGGATACTCGCATTCAATTTGACAATGACGTCTTCTAGCCTTATCGATTCTAATTAATTCATTTAAGAAAGCAAAAGTTGGCGAAGACTGTCTTAGATTGTGCCAAAAGTTTAAGAGAGTTGTTGAAGGCTTGAAAGGGAGCTAATTTCGAATATTTCCCTTCTAGATTAGCTCCATAAAAACTGGACTAAAGTGGATTGGTTTCTGCAGAAAGGCTAGACTAAAGAG